TGGGGAATTCTGGGAGTTGAAGTCCACACGTCTTAAAGTTGCCAAGGTTGAGAAACCCTAGCCTAACCTTTTCCTTCTATGTTTGCTGCAAACTGTCTTGTGTTCCCAATTCAGGAAGGGATGTTCCTTCCCTTGCAGAATGAAAGCCCATCTTAAAAGGAGGGATTTTCAGCAAGTCACCTTCTGGATGGGAACAACAGCTTTGCAGTTTCTTCCCCAAGCCCTTTCTGTTTACTAGTCTGTTTGTGCTCACAACCTCTCCAGGTAAATTTTTTAAAAAAGGATGGAAAGATACATGTGACTGGATCCTCCTGTCACATTTAGGTGTAGTTTCTTGTCACCCACAGAGATCAAGAAAAAAGTCACCTTGGCAGCAGAAGTTTCTTTTTTTCCTCCTCAGATTTATAATCCCCAGTTGAGGCCTCACATAGTCACTATGTTAATCCATCACATTTATTTAATGGATCCATGATTTATTGAACAAACTACAACTGGCTGAGTTCACACAACAGAAAGCCTAGTTTACAGTGTGTTTTGCACAATAACAAAGATTAGGCCAAACAAACTCTACTGTGGTTCTGTGCTGCTTCTCATTTGTTCCTCAGCTTCTTGGAGTTTAACTGGACCCTTTCTTCTCTCTCTGCGTTCTTTGACTGTTTCCCCCAGGGCAGACTCTTTCTGGTTTGGCTCTTTGCTTTCTTCTTCTTTGCTTTTGTTTGCTCTTCTCATGCATGTGTGCTTTCTTGCTTGCTAGCTGACTTTTCTCTCTATAGCTTCATTTCTGCATGCATTCTTAGGTGAATTCTTAGGTTCACTACGTTATAATATAGCTATATTGTAGCTATATTAATTAACTGCAGTATGAAAGAATGAGACTATCTCCTGTTCTTAAAATTAAGGCAAGAAGTCATTTTGCACTGCAGTGTTTTTGTTCCACCGAATTTAAATTATCCCGGAAACGTACCTGTAGCATGTTTTTTTCCTCTTTCCAGCTTTGTTCATACGTTATCCAGTCTGCTTCTCCTCTGAACTCTTACTGCCATTTCTTTCTTGTTCAGCTTCTCCTTGTTTCCCCTTTTTCTTCTGCATTCTTGTCTTTTTTTCTTTCTTTCCTCTCTGACATTCAGGAATCTCCCCTTTTTCTTGGTCCCATGTTTGCTTCTTCTGGTGTTCCTCTTGTTTACCAAAAGCCCAGTGTAGGATACTCTTTTTCAAACCATGGCAGACACCTGTGGTTGTGATTTTGATCAAAATGAGAACTTCTACCTAGATTTGGGTCAGTATTCTGTATGCCAGGCTGCTTTTAGCTTCACTAGCAGAGGAAGATGGTGGTGGAAATCCACATATGTGTATGATGCTATGTACCCTTTAGTCCTCATTATTATTTATTTGTTCTATCTCCTGTCCTTGACAGCAGCATGCATGTATGACCTCAGAGGATCCACTCTCATGTATTGGCCAGATCCTCCTGTCCCTGAGCCACTCGCACCTAAGCATGATACAACCATGCCCTGGTAATATCTTCTTCCTGCCCTTTTCCTGTGACTCTGTCTTCATCTCATCCCTTTACTCATCTCTGTGAATGAGACAGGCATAAGTAATTCCTAGCTGTACCAGTGTTCAAGTACTGTACTATTTCCCCCTTTTTGGCACCCCATCAAGGGCAGCCTCAAATTGCGGGAAATCTGTCAGGTTGTTATTTTAGAGAGAAGCCAGGTGATCGGCATGACAAGAAAGAGAGGCCACAGGGGTGGGATAGAGACAGGCAGTGGGAAGAACCAGTTTCACGCCAGGATAGCTTTCTGCTGATTCACAGGTTGAGGGATAGCATTATAACTCAACACTGGGGAAAGGCCTAATTCCAGTTCAGCTAAAAACAATTTAAGCCAGTCTCACTCATGGCCTGGGGACGAGATGGAGGCAGCATCATGGGGGTAGGGTGCACACAGAGACAAAGATGTTACCAAGACACATTTCCCTTCTCTTCTTTCCTCACTGACTCATTGATCTTTTTTCTTGTTTCACTCTTGCTTGAATTGCCATCTCTTACACCCTCCAATCTCTTGGCTGGCCTGCTCCATTGAACATGTGCTATCTCTTTGCAATTTTCGTCTTGCATCTTCTTTCTTCTCATTGTTTACGATCACCCATCCAACCTAGCCAGGCTTTTTACATTGACTAAACATGTGCTCACCCATTTGGCTATAAAGAGGGAGGGGGAGCTATTTTTTTATCATGAAGATGGGGCAAAACAAACAAACAAACAAACAAACCATCTTATCTTCATGTTCTTCTGTTTAATTCTTCCCTTACCTCTGGTTCAGTTCCCGTATTTAAAATAAGCCAGCTGGGAGAAGTCTTCAAGTAGCAGAACATGAGAAGAGAGAGCAAAGCAAGACGGATGTCTTGCTCGCTTCTCCCTTGCATTCCACTTAGTAGGAAGCTAAAGACATCCCTTGGGAAGGAGAGGGTGGATTGAGCAAAGAAGTTTCCATCTTGTCTGGGCTTGCCTGCTCTCCCTTCTTTGCATGCTGTTCCCTCCCCCCCCTTCTCTTTCTCTGAGTTGTGCTTGTTCTCAGTTTCTTGGTCTCCTGTGGTTTGAGGATCTATCAGTCTAAAAAAGGCAGTTATCCAAGAAATAGAATAAATGGCCAAAAGAGAGAGCCAGGGAACTTCCTTTTTCTTTTTCTTTTGAAAATGAGCTGAAGTGCCTTTAGCCTTTCACAAGGACTCTGAGAAGAGAGAGGATTGTTTCCTGATTGGATGGCACAAGGCAAAGAATTGGCCATCTTTGAAATAACAAGGGTAGTTGCCACTGTTAACTGAAATACAGTGGTACCTCGGGTCACGAACTTAATTCGTTCCGCGACTCTGCTCGTGACCCGAATCAAATTTTCCCATAAT